AAGGTCATTGGTACCTCACTAGATTCTCTCAGCCAGAAATAAACATAAAAAGATGAACAAGCAGATCAGAGGCTAATTCGTACTTACTCTTTATGGAAAGTGCATGACATTTTCAGTGTTAACAGAATCATGTCTTGTGGAATACAATGAAGACAACGATGATCCCAACAGTTCTATGGTACAGTGGACTCTCAGATGGGACATGATGTCTGTGGAGTCCCCAAAAAGGTTTCTGATGGTCATTCGCTGTGACCCTTAATGTGAGTGACTCGAATGGCCAATGAGACTCCATGGTATTGAGCAAAAGACAGATTTCCCTTTATTGGGTTGGACTTTCACCGTGGGGGTGACCGTCCGTCCCTTTCTCAAAGCATGAGAATGCGGTAATTGTGATGATTTTAATCATTGGAAACTCGGCATTTGGTTCAGACTCCTGGACTTCACCTTGAATGCTGCGAATGTCTCCAGTGGCTTCATTTGCCTGCAGAGCTCACAGCCCTACCCTGCCAGCTCCCTCCATCTTTCCAAGGAGCCCACTGAGCCTGGCCGGGTTGGAATTCCAGAGTGTTCCAAGTCCCGCAAGGGCTAATCTTGCATCTTTGGCCCAAAGCTTTCAGATGATTGCCTGGCTACACAGTTCAATTTAGAGAGCAAACTCCGAATACTGGGATCTGTAATGATGTTGATGTCATAAAAATAATCAGATTTCAGTGCCGAACAGGGGCTGTTTCAGCAACCATGATTAAACGTTCTACACAGAGAAGCAGCTCCCTTAAGCACTATTAATATCACTGTGACAATCATTTAGAGATTAATAATCACCATATTTAGGTGGTTTTCTCCAACACCCCAAGAGGTCCGAGACACCAATAGGTTTACTATCTCAAGAGGGTTCCAAAGAGTGGTTGGTGAGGCACTGATGTGTTCAGGCCTCAAGGATTCAGGAGTGTGGAAGGGAATCAACTGTGCACTTCATTATCCTCTGAGAAAATGAACAGCTCTTGCTTCCAAGAGAGTTCTCTCTCCCTTTGCTACTGGCTATGCGTTTGGTATCTATTTCTCACTCTAATCTTAAATCACATTTTAGAAAGCTTACAAAGTTGACACGGAGGTTTTACCAACCACGCATTTGAACTTCCTGTTGGAAAGACGATTGTTATAATCTATTAACTCTAGAAAGATGGCAGGGACAGTTTGGTGTTTTCTTGCTACACATTTGAAACGAGCAGTTTTTGTCGTAAAATTGCAGATGTATGCTTACACTTTTGCTGAACTCTGTCACAATCAACTCTGGACAATTAGGACCACAGGTCTCTCTGCTCAGGAATGTAAAATTAAAATGTAGAAAAAGTAAAACTGGGCTTTCACTAATCCTGGACCCATGCTTTACCCAGCGCTCTCTGTCTATAAACCTGCTGGCTCCTTGATCTGCTGCAGTCTATCCTTCGCATTCCTTGGCGCCTCATGGCCCAGAAGAGAGAAGCCTCACAATTTCTCCTTTTCCATTCTCATCTGCGGTCACGCAGGAGGTTAATATCTATGTCTGGCCTCTCTCCCTATGACAACACTGCCTGTGCTCAGTGTGGGGTGAGATACAGCTTTGCTTCCATAATCAAGGAACAGCTTTGTGGTGGAGAACACTGGTGTGTAGCTCTGAAACTATAGTGTACTGACTAGGAGTGAAGGCTCTAGAGCTAAACTGCCTAGGTTCAAATCCCTACTCTGTAGCTTACTGTGTGAACTTGTTTCCTAGCCACTGATGATAGGGTTGTTAGGATGGTTGTATATACATGATCTATGTAAAGCACGTAGAACACTGCTTGACGTGGTAAGCATCCTGTACTCTTACAGGAGCCGCCAGTCACCGATCCCAAATGCTAAGGATGCTGCGCTAAGGTTACTGTAGTTTGTACTTTCGAGTCAGAACTGATCCAGCTGACACGCCAGTAGGTTTCCAGAGGCAGTAAATTGCATGGGAGGAGATTCCCCATCTTTTTCCCATGGAGCAGCTGGTGGATTCAAACTGCATATGTTTGCTTTGGCAATGCTATTTCTTACCACTAAGCCACCAGAGCTGCATAATCTGCATCATGCAGATGGCACAACCTTGCTTGCTGAAATGAGGAGGACTTGAAACACTTGCTACAGAGGGTCAAGAACTACAGACTTCGGTATCTCAACATTCAGAAACAGAGGTCCTCACCACGGGGCCAACAGTCAACACTATGATAGAGAAGGATTGAAGCTATCAATGACTTCATCTTGGTTGAATCCATAATAAACACTCTTGGTCCCAGCAGATCAGAAATCAGGAGATGTATTGTACTCGGCAAGTCTGCTGTCAGGAACATCTCCAAAACACTTAAGAGTAATGATGTCAGTTTGAAGACTAAGGTGCGCTTGATTTGGGCCATGGTCTCTCAGTAACCTGCTATGCATCAGAGAGTTGGACAATGAGTAAGAATGACAGAAGAATTGCTGCCTTTAAGTAGTGGTGTTGGAGAAGAGCACTGAATATCCCCACGGACTGCCAAAAGAACAGATATGTCTTGGAGACAGTGCAATCAAAGTGTTCTTGGAGGCAAAGATGACAAAGCTTCATCTCTCATACATGTTACTAGGCAAGGCTGTTCCTTGGAGAGAGACATGATGCTTGGAAAGATAGGGTCAGTGAAGGAGATGAAGACCCCCGACAGGGTGGCTTGACACAATGAATGCAGCAACGGGCTCAAGTGTGTCAGGGGTGATGAGGATAGCACAGGATAAGACAGGATTCAAGTCTGTTGTTCATAGGGTTGCTTTGAGTTGTACTCACCTCAGTGGCACTTAACAACAACAACATACTCTTTGAATTTAGCTCCTCTGTTCTTGGCTTTCTGAGAAAGACATATGAGAAGACAAGAGGAACAGATCAATGAATGGAGAATGATGACCAGCCCTTCCTGATATAGTGAGCTCAATTGTGAGGAGACTGGTGGAGGTAGAAAATAGAGTTATTTTCTGCAAGATGCATGCAAGAACACAGGAGTCAAACTCCAATCTTAAGTGACATTGTAAAAAGTATCTTACCAATCAGCAACTGGAAGGAAGAACCAGGAAGAGGCAAAAAACCACTTTGGTGTTCAGGGTGGGCAGAAGGACACTGAGGCGGAAAGGTGGGCAGGCGTTGACCCCGTCCTTGGAGAATGGGAAACACTGGTTCAGATGGAAAAGATCTTCCAGTTGAATAATGGCATAAGCAAAGATACAGAAAATAGAATTGACGGTGATGATGGTTTCAAGAGCTTATGTGGAAGAGTGACAGAGGAAGAGATGGAAGGACATACGGGCTTAGCTAATGGAGACTTTGGCCAGGAAATAACATTCAAACAGCAGCATCCAAGGAAACTTAACCCAGTGGGAGTAAACAGGAAGAATTGCTTTCATTGAGCTTAAAACTTCGTAGTTGCCAATTGATCCACAAGGAATACCAGTGAATACTGTTGGGTATAATGTTGTTAAAGTACAAGTTATTAGTACTGTCTCATAGTCACACCCAAAACCTAGCCAAAAATCAGACTCTTTGCCTTCAGTTTATGAGATAACACGGTTCCAGGGCTTTTTAGAGAAACAGGTCTTTGATTCTTTCATCTGTGGCAATTTTGGATGGGTTCAAAATGCCAAACCTTTAGATGGTAGTCCGGGGCAAGTCTCACCCACAGACAGCTTACTAATTAGATTTTGTGAGACGTAAGGGCCTTGTAATGCAGAAGCCTGGCATTCCTGGTGCCCCCCGAGAGGGGACCCACTGAAGTAATGCTCTTATGGCAGAGTGTTCCTTCCTAACAGAAATATTGAAACAGCATCTGAACATGAGGACATGATCAGACAATCGAAAGGTGACATAGTCTACAAAATAAGTTATCTTGGGTTTATATGTAAATAAAGTGCCATTATAAACAAACGAAAGGGCAGGAAGATGATTTTTTAATAGAATAAAAGACTAAAACTGTGATCTGAAAACTCTATCTTATCTTTATTTGGTATACAGCCACGCTTGTGCCTTTATATTCTGCCTGAGTTTGCTCCTAGTCTATAATGACAAGAGCTGAGTAGCTACAGAGACATACCACGTGACCCCCAAAACAGAAATTATTTACTGTCTGGCACTTGACAAAAAGGGTTTCCCAACGCTTGTGTCAAAATAACATAGTAGCTAAGTATAGTCCATAAACCCTGATTTGTTACTGAATCAGGATGAAAACATACTTAGGGCAACTGGAGAAATTGAAGGAATCCTAGTGGTAAAATAGCTAAAGTGTTGGGCTGGTAACCAGAAGGTCAGTGGTTCAAATCTACCAGCAGCTCCATAAGAGAATGATGACACAGTCTTCTTTGGTTAAGATTGAAAGGCTCTGAAACCCAGTGTCAGGTTTTTGATTTGTGTTCTTAGAGTGGAATTGGGGTGAGGTGTTAGAAAAATGTAAATAAAGACTGGAAATTGAGTGATGTTACTTAATTCACATTAATATTTTAGATGAGATAGTGGTATTGTTATTGCTAAAAAGAGCGTTTTTAGGAGCTGAGTCTTCATATTTGGAGACTGTGTCGTGATGTGTCCAACATCCTTGCAAATGGTCCAGGAAATGTTTATCTCTGTAGAGAGACAAAGTCAATGCAGTAAAACCGTTAGTATTTGGTCTAAGTGAAGGATTTGCACAATCAATAGACTATTTTTCCATTTTTCTATAGACATTAAGATTTTCAAAATGAGAGTTGTGGGATTTCATATGAACAGTCTATCACATTGGCGACCAGCTACAGTCGCTCAGGGGTAACATGCTCTGGGCTCTGGTCTGCCCTCCTCACCTGCCATATTTCATAGAATTCCTTCTGATGGAGAAATGGTTGACCAGTTAAGGTGGCTTGCCCCTTACCGGAAGGGGACGCTGTAGCCCTCGGGCAACCCCACAAGGATCTTCCCTTGTAACATGGATATTTTCCTTGTCTTTTTTGCACAGTAATTCCATCAAGCTGGTGAATTTACTCTCCATATTTATCAGCACCTGGCTAACGGCAGCCGGCTTCATTCATTTGGTAAGTAGCCTGGAAGACCCTTTAAAAAAGCTGTGACTTTCTTTACACAAATCTCTCTGTGAATTACCTTATTACCTGAAATTTCTCACACCAGAAGGCCCAGCTGTAGAATTCAGGAAAGAGGGAAGCAACCACATAATTGTCTGGGTTTCCAACACTTTTATCTCGAACTAGTTCTAAATGGTGAGTGATGTTTGGCTATTAATCTGCGTGTGCAGATGGGTTTTGGCAGGTTTTCATTCTATATGCAATAACTTAGACAGGCCACAAGATGGCAGTGCTTCCTCAGGAAAGGCCGGGAAATGGCCAGGGAGAAGGTTTGAAATTTGACCTAAAATGCTTAGTAAACAACAAATTCAGATCCCTCTATTTCTCTCTACCAAAAAAAAAAAAAAAAGACTTTTGATTTTTTTTTTTGCCTGATTACTTGTCATTTTGTACTGGGAAAAGGTCAATTCTTCAAAAATTAATGACTCTCTGAAAGGCTTATGTTATTAAGTTAAGCTGTTCTCACCTTTGCAAAGCTGATTTTCCCCCATAGCTATTGTCAGAGACATGTTTAATATAAACACAAGTTGTTACAGCTCGAAGGAGCCCCATCTGATAATAAAGCCCTGAATAAAAGTGGCTTGTTGCGAAGTCTCTGTGCAATTCTGTTTTCTATTCTCATTGCTGTGGAGTCAGAACCAATCACGGCCAGCAGGTTTTCAGAGGCTGTAAATCACTTAAGAGGAGATTGCCTCTTTTTCTCCTGGGGAGCAGCAGAACCAAACACCTCAGGGTTGATAGTGTATCTCCTTACCCACTAGGCCACCAGGGCTCCTATTTGTGTAAGTTTGTATAAAGGGATGTCGTTACTGTTAGTTGCTGTTCAGCTAGTTGTAACTCAGGACAACCCCATGTGTAGGGGTGACACAGTGTTTTAACATCCTCTGGGTGGATGTAAACCTTGAACCAGTCATTCAACAAGTAGTGGAGCAGTTAAGTACTTGTGTCACCCGGGGGCCCCTGGAGACGTGCCATCCGGGGGCCCCTGGAGACGTGCCATCAATGTGCATTTAGGTATTTTTCCCATGGGATTTATGTAGCGATCATCCAAAGTGGGGCAAGCCTGGGAAGGTTGGTCGCTTGCTCTGCACCCAACCCTTTGATGCCCATGGGGTTCTTGAAGGAAGTTACTGTTAAATGAATTCCCCTCCAATTCTTGTCACAAACAGGTGCCAAGTGCTTAAAGGATACCAGTAGGACTGTTGTCAGCCTTTAGGTCGCAAGTGATCCCGCCTTACCCAGTGTTTATGTGAAATGTCTTCTGAGGCCCACAGAAGCCATCATGAAAATAGCATGTCCTGAAACAGATGCGGAGACAGACAGGGAGGGAATGCACAGAGGAGAGGGAATCTCCAGCCCTGAGCTGAGTCTGGCCCTGCTAGTTCTCAGAGGGACTGCCTGGGCCTGCTTTTGCGGATGCTGGGTGGCTCGAATGGTTCAGCCTTTGACTGACTAAATGTTTAGAGGCCTGACTGCACCTGGGGCTCCCTTGATTCTGAAAACACAGAATGTGGGGTCCTCTTGAGTTGGAATGGACTCAGTGTCGCCCGTTCACGGCTGCTTTCCTGATACAATGGTGTTGAATAATAGTGACAGAGAGCCAAGCAGAAGATATTTATTCTCCAGCCCTTTAGAGGGGGAAAAAAAATTATAGGCCTTTGATCTAAAATGTTTGTCAATTGCAGATTTCCTGAGGGCTCGCTTTTCAAGCTCTCAGGAGTACTGGTGCCTTAGAACTCATTGTGGGTGCTCTTCAGAGGAGCTGAGGGGTGTCTCTGAGAGACACTTGGAAACGTCTGGAATATGGACACTGGCTCTGGAAAAGCAGGGCTGAGCTGGTATCTTGTTGGTCAAAATGAAGACAGAAGGAGACTCTTGAAGGGAGGACAGTGTGAGTGACCAGGCCTCTGAGATTTAGAGGAGCTCACAGCAGATGACCAGGGATGGCTCTTGGGTGTCTGACTGTCATTGCTCTAAATTCCGCTGGCCTTGAATATGTAACAGCTAGAAGAAAAGATGGGTGTGAGCCAACCCCACCCTTCCATCCACTCTCTTCCCCAATCGGTGGGGATGGCCTTTGTCTAGAACCCTCTGCATCCTCCAGGGCCACACGCTGAGCCGCACCTCCAGGTCCTCTCAGGGCGACACACATCCAGCAGAAGGCCACCATGTCAGCGGGGACTCGGCCAGCAGGGCAGCACTCCGGTGTGTGCTGCTTTATTGGAAATGTAATTCTGGTTTCTCTTTCTCCCCCATCTGTAGGTGGAGAATTCAGGGGACCCGTGGGAAAATTTCCAAAACAACCAGGCCCTTACGTACTGGGAATGTGTCTATCTGCTCATGGTCACCATGTCCACCGTGGGCTACGGGGATGTTTATGCAAAAACCACGCTTGGCCGCCTCTTCATGGTCTTCTTCATCCTCGGGGGACTGGTAAAAAACCCTCTTTATTACCATGTTGACTTGTATGGCCATCAGTAGTCTCTGATACCCATTTCCGTAAAGTGTTAGAGTTTTATTTGATCATTTTGTATTAGAAGCAATGATTGCCTTAATGTTACAGGCCAGCTAAGTAAACACAACCACGGTGGGGCTTTTCCTGCACCCTTGAAGCTCCTTTCCTGTAACCAGGGAGTTGGACCACATTGCCCTGGCCAGAAACAGCTGGGGCTGGGAGCGAACCCAACAGTGCTAAGAAAGTGATAGTGTTACTGAGTGTCCGTCCCTTAGTGATGGAGCTCAGATCTGACACTGCAGGGCCACCTGACCCTGGTCCCTGACCTTGATACTTTGTAGGCAGTTGGCGGTTTCAAGACCCCCGCTCCCGAAACTTCCAACAAACACTGTGGCTGTCTGCCCTAGAGTGGACCCCACATCCTGTCCTCCAGGTGGGCAGCCTGTGTGAGCTCAGTGCAGCTTTGCACACAGCCAGCCCCATGCAGCCACATGTGAGTGTCTTCCCACTGCCCTTGGAATCAGAAATCCTCACTGGTTGTTTTCTGAGTCTCTGCACATCTTGATGCAGTGTTCACGTGTCACTGACCGTGCCACATGCAAGGGGGATTTCTGGCAACACATTGGCAGTCGCTGCATTCAGTCCTCCAACGCCACTCATTTTAAGTTTAGATTTTTGTTGTTTTTCTGTATGAGGTAAGTGATTACAATACTGGTTCACACTCAGCTGCCCCTCAAGTACATCGCACATGCATTTATATCCCTTTGCGCATACATAGCTGTCTGTTCTGCATGTATGATGTTGATGTTAAAATTGTATATAAATGTGTATGTGCGTGTACTCCATCCCGGGCTTCCTGGGTGTGCACCGAGGCCCTGTAGACTCAGCGGTACACGGCAGGGCCCCTAGCTCCCAGCATCTAGCCATCAGCGAGGTGTTTGTTGGACAAAACATGGCAGATGTGTGCTCCTCCCTGTTCTCTTCTCCTCCCACGTGACCTCCTTGATTTACCTTTTGTGTTTTTCAGCCATTTTTTTGATAGAAAGTTGTTTGTTTTTTTTTTAAAATGTTACTTTTGATGTTTAACATCTATAATGATTCATAACAGCTCTGAGTTTTAGTTAGAAAGAAAGGCCTATGCGGATGGGTGTGTGTATGCGTGTATATGCTTGTGTGTCCAATTCTGCCAGCGTGGAGCTTTAACCCATTTCCCCTCAGAAACAAGAGCAGATGCCACCCTCTCTGGGCCTGTCCCCCTGGCACTGTTCTCACCTGTGGGATCTTTCCACATTTTGTCTTGTGTGTATTTAGGGGCTTACCTGTGTGTGTGTGTGTGTGTGTGTGTGTGTGTGTGTGCTCGCGCGCTTTTGTTGATTAACTATCACACTTAGGGGTACAGACCTCTGCAGTTGTAATCCTTTTGTGTTTTCAGGTCTTAGTGTCCCCCCCTTCTGGAAAGTCACCCCTTTCTTTGGCCTGTCTTTTTAGTCTCTCTTCTGTCTCCTGTCTTCTCCTTAGGCCATGTTTGCCAGCTACGTCCCTGAAATCATAGAGTTAATAGGAAACCGCAAGAAATACGGGGGCTCCTATAGTGCTGTTAGTGGAAGAAAGTAAGTATCCCCCGAGGCCGGTGGCCTCGCTGCATAGAATCCTCTCTGCATGCCATTTTTTTTTTTTTTGGCTCTTGTTTCTTTGTTTCATGCATGTAGGCAATGTTTGCCCGCTACGTGCCCGAAATTGCTGCTCTCATCCTGAATCGGAATAAATTCGGCGGGACTTTTAACAAACACGGAGGCAGAAAGTAAGTCAGTTCTGTCAGAAGATCTGTGGTTGGTGACTCTCGAGAGTCCTTTCGGTGACACATACACCCTGGCCCCTCGGCCCCTGGGGGCTTCTTCAAGAGAAGGGCCAAGTTCTGTGTGGGGTGTGTCAGAAGGGGTAACCTCAGCCTTGGTCCCGATCCGTCAATCCGGGGAGGGGCTTCCTAGTGAACCAGACCCGTGTCTTCTGTTCTGACTTTTCAGCAGGTAGGCTCACGGTTTCTTGATGTTGACTGGCTTAGTGACTCACTTCTGCTCTTTCTGAGTATGTCAGGTTGTTGTCTGGGAACCTTTGTGGCAATGGCATGGGATGATAAATACTCTCGTGGAGAGTAGGGGCAGAACCAGGGCCTTCCACCCATGGTCTTGTGACCACTGGGGTAGGCTTGTTTCTTTGCTGGGAGGCTTCTCTTTCATATTGGCAGATCCACTGCTCCATCAAAGTCCTTTTGGGCAAGAAAGCTAGACACTATGGCGTGTCTCCAGTTCTGCACCCCACACAAATGCTTTCCTCGCCGATACTTGAATTTTGTTCTCAGCTCACTTTTATTCTCAAAACAAACTCAAAGTCATTGTTCTAAGGTTGGAACCAACTCAGAGCTGACCCTCCAGTGGGTTTTCAGAGGCAATAAATCATAAGAGGAGATTGCCTGTCTTTCCTCTTTGGTGAAGTGGATGGATCCCCACCACCACAGAGGTGTCTCCTGTGGGGGTTAACAGCACAACTCCCTAGGGACTAGGACTTGTTATTGTTTGCCATGGAGTAGGAACCAACCCATAGCTGCCCCTACAGTGAATTTTCAGAGGCAGTAAATCTCATGGGAGAAGATTGCTCATATTTTCTCCTTTGGAGCAGCTAGTGGATTAGAACCGGTAGTCTTTGCTTTGAAAGCACAGATCTCTATCACTAGGCCACCAGAACTCCCTGGTAGGCAGTGAAGGAGCATTACCCTTCCCGTCTCCTCAGACAGAGTGTCATGGTCCTGAGGGAGAGTGCTGAGGAAGGCTGGCCTACACAGCTAGCTGGTCTTTGATTTTTTCACAGCTTTCCTCAGAGCTTCTGGTTTTTGCACTTCAGGTGTGATTCATTCATGGCAAAGCATCTGAGCCTTTAGTGTGGAGCTGGAGGAGTTTTCAGCCGTGTGCATACCTCATCCCTGTATACACACTTCCCCACCACCCAGGTGTTCCTCACCCTTAGAGGTCACTCAGGCCCCTGCCCACTCATGAAGGTCTTTAAAACGGAACTGCCTCCACTCATTTCTTTAGAAAGAACTCTAGATGAGCTTTTTGTCACAGGAAAAAAAAACCCCAAATGAAGCCTGTTGCCTTCCATTTACACCAAATGCCTGCTCCTCGGCTGACAGGAAGCCCTGCTGCATGGAGCCAGCCCAGCCCTCCTCTCCTGTCAGGGCTCCCAGTGCATCCAGAGCTCAGGTGTCCAGGCCTCAGTTTAGCAAATGAATAGGTGGGGAAAGAGGCTCATTTTCTTGAACTACCCACCGGACACCAGTTTCCTTTCAAAGGAACAAAGGACAGTGTGTGAGAGGAAGCCAGTTGGCGCCTTTTCAGTGGACGCAGCATAGCCTCCCTTCCCTCTAATGGAGTCCTCCTCTCTCTATTATCCTAACAGCCCTGGATGAGGTGAGGACCAAGCTGTTCTGGTTTCTGGGCCATTGCTTGGATCCAAAAGGCCACATAAGTTCCGTAACTCCCCATGACAGTCTCTCCCATGCCAAGAGGAAAAACAGCTTCTCTGTTTGTTCGGTCTTCAAGATGGGGGCAGGTCGCCATAAAGCGAAATGCACTCACTGGAAGGCCTCAGCTCTCTCTGTGGCCTTCCCAGGCCTCTGTCAAAGCCAGCATTTCCTGATCCTGTCCCTGAAGAAGTCAATAAAATTAGTGGCCCTAAAGTCTGTGTTGAAAATATTTCTTGAGTCCAGGTATTATTTTTTTTTTCCAAGTCATTTCCCCTTGTCCACTGTGGGTGGGCCTGCTGGCTGGCAGCTTTTGTTGATGGGTGAGCAGAGGAGGCCACAGTGCGCCACTCACTCACCAGCCCTTGGTCTGGTCCAGTCATCTTTTCCACATTGTCACTTCGACCCCCAATTGCTAGGGACTTCAGATCACAGACTTCCGGAGGCTTTTGCTCTTGCTCCATAATCTTTTATCACCATTTGAAGCCTGGTTTTCTCTTTTTCCTCCCGCCCTTTATGAAAATGCATACTTAGCTTTAATGTGCTTTTTAGGGCTCCAAGGTGCCGGGACCCCTCAGACAGAGTCGGTTTCTGTCATCAGCACTGGGACTGTTACTTTACTTTACGCATTGTTTCCTGGTTCAAAAGCTAATTACTAAGTAGTTTAAAGAAGCCCTTTGGTCACTTAGATCTTTCATCAGAAAATATAAGCTTGGGAAGGGAGCGGTAATAAAGGGCCATTAGCACCCTTTGTTTGATGTTGTTTTTCCAGTCAGGAGAACAAGATTGATGAAATGTTATGTTTGGCCAAAATTTGAGTTTTCATTTGGAATTCAGTGTTGAGAGAATGGGCTGTCAGAATCAATAAGTTTTCTTTTGCTGGGGATATGGGCATGTGGTAGTAATTAGCAATATAAGGTCTTTAGTTGGGCAACCAAGCATAGATTCTGGCAGCAAACATAATGAGAAACTACAGTTGTTCTATTTCTAACGTCAAAAAGTTTCCAGATAAAATTAAATACATTTGCAAAATGAAAGCAGCTAAACTTTGTTGAAAGATGGAGTTCAGACTCTTAAAATAGTGTGCTGGGCTCCGCATTTGCGTGTGTGCATAAATGTCTGTCCTATCTTCATGGACACACATCTACATACTTTTCTCCCCAAAATTCAAATTCAGATGAGTGCCAGAGAGTAATTCAAACATACACATAAAGGGATTTGTCTATGTATACATATTTTATTCTGAAACAGCTTCTCTAATGATGCATTAATTTGTCAGAGAACTCAAGGTAACTGGTATTCTTAAAGCTGCAGATTATTTTAAAGTGGGAAAAAAATTAGACAAATAAACTCTGAGTTTTGTTTATGCAACACCTAATTTCAGGATGTTGGAAAAGTATAAAGATTTCATTGGCACCTGATTTTCATTTTTAATTTACATACATAGTATAATATAAACGATCCTTGAAGGATACCAGAAACAGCTTAACCGTCAACTCATATTCAAGGACCTTGAGGCTCTCCCACCAACATTTTCATCAGGACTCCTTGGCTGACCACCCCATGGGGATGTGCTGAGCCAGAAGTGGGGGCACACGTGCTTGTGTCAGCTGTTGTTTATTAGGATGATGTATTACGATTCCTGAGAATAATAGATATTTGAATGGAAAAGTCATCCCTGGGTAGTGGCCTTGAATTAGTGTGCTCCGCTACCACCCAAAAGGTTAGAGGTTTGAGTCCACCTGGTGGCACCTCAAGAGACATGCCTGGTGATCTACTTCCAAATATTCCACCATTGAAAAGTCAGCAGAGTACAGATCTATTCTAACCCACACGAGACCGCTCAGTTTCCCGTGTAACCTCAGGGCCAAGGAGCTCTCTAGGTTGGGGATATTGTGGACAGCTAGCCTGTTGGACTGAGATGTTGACCCTTATTCCAAAGAGTAGCCCCTTCTGGAGCCCAGCTCCATCCACTGCCCAGAGCTGTGGGGGTGTTGGGTGGAGATGAGGTTCATATGGGGTCCCCATGCACTCCTCTCCTCCCACACTCACTTGCTGCTTTCTCCAGAGGTATCTCCACTGTGTGTGACGATACCCACTCTTGGATTGCTTATGACAGCTGACACAATCAGGATCTGAGTTCACATGGCCGAGGGCTGTTGAAAACTTTTGGTCACAGAGAAGACTCCCCTAGTCTTTAGCCCTTTCGTTGTAAGAGATGGAACTGGGATTCATCCAGAACTTGGGTTTCCCAAGAATGGGCTTTTGTGATGCCATACTCCAGTAGTTCTAGGTCAAGTGGTCGTGACAGGTGAGAATAGAATGAATTTCCACTGAGCTACTGATTTCTGGTAGCCAGATGCAGAGAGGACAGAGAAAGAGAAATGAATATTGTACCCACTGCCCTTGAATTGATCTCAGCTTAGAGTGACTCATTGTGACCAAGTAGGACTTACCCATAGCATTTCCAGGGTAGATAACTTCATCTTTTTCTGTAAAGGGACCTATGGATTTGAGGCAACCACTTTTTGGTTAGAAGGCAAGTGATTAACCACTGCACCACCGGTCTCCTAAACAAAGACAAGGAGTGGGGACAGGGATAGCAGAAAGACACAGTGATTAAGCTGGAGAAGATCTCCAGGCTGCATGAGGAAGCCAAGTCTCCGTTACAATTGTAGGAATCATCACCACAGATGAGGCTGGTGCTCTCACTCCAGCAAGGAAAACCTCCTGTAAAACTGAAATGCTAGAGAGTCTGGTGGCCTAGTGACAAGAAGCTACACTGCAATCCCAGCGATACCAGATTCAAATCCACCAGATTCTCTGCCGGAGAAAGAGGGGCAATCTCCTCTTGTACCAGTCAGATCTGATTTGATGGTACACAAAAAAATAATAAAATAAAATTTAGAAAACCCCTGAGATGTTGATTTCCTTAGAATAATACTTCCATATACAGTTAGAAAGAAGTTCCCCTACTTAGGGAAATGAGAACACAAGTCAAGAAAGCCTGAAGCTCTACACTGTCTCATATAACAGTGAAAATAATCACTGCAGACAGTGCTTCTAAGTTGAGGCTGGAGATCAAATGATTGA